CGAGCAGAGTTGCAGACTGGCAAGAAACTCAGGAAATTTCGAAGTGATGGTGGTGGAGAATATGTCTCTAAAGATTTTATCAAATATTGTGACGAAGCTTGGGTTGAGAGGCAGTATTTAGTTCCAGATACACAGCAACACAATGGCACAGCTGAGCAAGCCAACCGAACGCTCGAAGCAGCTCGCTCCTTATTATGAGATTCTGGTTTGCCCAAGTCCTTTTGGTGTGAAGCCGTTGCTGTTGCAGCTGATCTGCAAAACCGTCAGATCACATCAGCAGTGAGCGACGAGGCACCATTTGAGCGTTGGTATGGCAGAATTTTTGGATGCATAGCGTATGCATTTGTGCCAAGGAAGCATTGCACCAAGCTTGAAGATTGCAGCGTGAAGGCAGTTCTAGTCGGCTACAGTGATCACATGAAGGCTTACAAGCTCTTCAGTTTGTCCTCATAGAAGATCTTCCACAGTCGTGATGTGATCTTCAATGAAACACGGACGTATGCAACCAGAAATCTTCCGTGATCTGTGGTTTCCCCAGATCAATACCCTTTCCATACGAGCCTGCGCTCTTGATCCCCAAGTCAACCGTCAACGGTTTATGATTCTCGAAGAAGACCCTAGCGCACCAGCAGTAGGTACGAATACGATACGAATATGTTGGAATAGCATATTCTCCAGAGCTCTCTAGAGGCGCGGTAGGCAGTTAGAGGATACCAGAGAGAAGGGGCTTTGTAGCCTCTTGTGATGAACGATTTTGATGGCAGAGATTTCCATGGATGGCGAACTCAGATGCAGTTTTTCTTCATGGAGAAGAACCTTTGGGATATAGTCTCTGGGACAGAGGCATGTCCAGCAACGACAGAGGTTGCAGCCGAGAAAGCGAGCTCTTGGAATCCTTGGACGCGCAGTGGGGAAGATTTATTGGTGTCACCTTGACACATCCCTGACAGCCGAGAATTGGGAAGCACTAAAGACAGTGCTTGGCAGAACCAACAAGACCAATATAATTGAGATGAAAACCAAGTTCAACAGCATGGTCAAGAAGAAGGATGAGTCCATTCAAGATTATGCAAGTCGTTTGAAGGATACAGCGAAGCAGATCGACACTCTTCAATCTCAAGGGCATGATTTCCTTCCGGATCTTGGCCGCTTCATCTGGGCGAAGTGTCCTGGCTTTTTACAGATACCGTTATTTTTGCGCTTCTTCTTTCTCTTTCGCTCTTTTTGACCTTCTTGTTTGCGTTCTTTGGCAGCATCCTCCTGGCGCGGCCCTAGTCTATCCCAGATTGCGACCTTGGCCTTAGAAGCAGCAAACATAGACAAATCGAGAGGGATTTCTTCGAGAAACTGAGATCCTCCTAGCAAAGTTTCCAGTGCTAACATCTCGTTAACGACCTCATCAAATGTCCAGCGGCAGCAAGTTGAAACGCTGTTGGAATGCCCTTGAGAAACACTGTGACAAGGTCACTGTCGTCCACTTTGGTGGGAGATTGAAGAGTGTCTATCTGCTTCGCTGTATCCTTCAAAAGACTTGCATAATCTTGAATGGACTCATCCTTCTTGACCATGCTGCTGAACTTGGTTTTCATCTCAATTAGATTGGTCTTGTTGGTTCTGCCATTAGTGCTTCCCAATTCTCGTTAGCTGTCAGGGATGTGTCAAGGTGACACCAATAAATCTTCCCCACTGCGCGTCCAAGGATTCCAAGCGAGTGTTTTGTCTGTTCCACTCTTTCTCGGCGGACATGCCTCTGTCCCAGAGACTATATCCCAAAGGTTCTTCTCCATGAAGAAAAACAGCCATCCCAGAAAAACTAGTGCTCCGATACCATGATAAGGATGAACACTGTCTCGTGCATCACAAGAGGCTACAAAGGCCCCTTCTCTCTGGTATCCCGGAGAATATGCTATGCCAGCATATTCGTATCAACTTCTTCCACGCACATGTTGCCGCAGGTTGGTGGCATGGAAGACCTTCGGTGGCATGAAGCACAGGAACGTGATAAGCAATGGTGGCTGTTTACCAAGCTGCCCAGGACATGCCTGTGGATCTCTTCTAAATTTCAAACAAAGTTTAAGTTGCTGGCAAACGTGAATGCATCATACATGTAGAGAATGAAGAAGCTACCGCCTGATGGTTGTTTCCGTCCGTCTGTTGGGCTGATTGATATTTTGTATTAGGTTTGTCGGTTGTTTCTTGCGTTGAGCTGAAGCTCTCAAACACGATCTATGCATCTCCGAGAGTGCTGTGCAATCCACTGTCCACGTTGCTACGTCTTTCAACGCGATCTGTCGAAAATTTTCCTGGAGTCTCTAGTCTGTTGCACCTCCCATGTGCAGTGCCAATGCCAATGCCAATGCCAGTGTTGTTCACATCCATTCCAAGTTTGCCCAAGACCAAAGCAATGTCTACAGCTCTGGAGTGGTGGGAACTCTTAACAGGTGTGGAAGCAACAAGCGTCTCCGAGTAAAGAGCCAAACTCCACATGAGTGGATTCTAGATGAAGGAAGAGAGGATCTCTGCCAGGTGTTTGATCTAGCATTGCCTCTCGCTGATGTTGATGGATTCCTGAGTGCTAGGGCAGCTTAACCAAAGGTAATACCTCTTTAATAGACCATTTACTTCAGTGTTTGAGAGCACTAAAGCTCTCCACATTAAGGTATTTCTATTTTCCCTTAACTGCTTTAAGGCTCAAGGCTTAACCATACTAAGTTTATGTTCAAGTGTCAACATACGTGGAGTCGTGCTCTCTATGCTGACAGATATTAACTCGTACGTCTCTACTCTCCGATCCACGGTAGGAAATAACACAAAAGCAAAGAGGAGTCGATTCCAAACTTGAGCTTAAACTTGTCTCTAGACAAATTGCAAACCATGAACTACCAGGAAATGGCTGGCAGAAAAGCTCGTCGACATCTTTCGCTGGAATCAACAAACTCGATTGGTAAGCATAGCATAGAGGCATTACACCACGTACAAGATCATGAGATGAGACGAGAAAACTCTAGATTGATCCATCCCGCATTTGAAAGAAATCCCACGTTCTCAGCTACTTTTTCGAGGTTTTTTTTGCTATAACTATAGATCGGGTATGCAGCTCAAATGGTAAATGTCGTGCCATAGCTAACATCTACGTGCCAACCATTATCAAGAACTTGGGGATGCCAGCTATCGCTCCCCAGTGCCCAAGAGCGCTCCTCTCAGATTGATCCTACAATGATCGCCCAAGCTGGAGATTGTTATTTGGCTGCCGCAGGGGAGCGCATCTGCCCATGCTCACGGCCTAGCTCAAGAATAGGAGCATGAGCTTTCCTCGTGATATTGGTTATGCCACTGCTTTTTCCACTTTCCTGCTTGCAGGCCTCCACAAAACTAATTGCTGCCTATCTTCAAGCTCTCACTGGGCTTAGCTACAGCAGGAACCTGGCAATCCTGATGGGAGCCAAAAAAACGAGCTTTTTCGCTTGTTCCATCATAGCAGCCTCCTTGCAGTGATGGGCTGCTTGTGGAGGTTCCCCTGGCAGGCCCCGAGGATCGTGATGCATTCGAAATTTAAATGTTAGGAAAATAAATAATAAGCATAACACATTAAGGTTACCTTGAGTGTTTTACACTAGAGAAAAGTTTAGCACGTGAGGAGCGGTATGCTTATATTTTCACATGGTTTGCTTCTTCGCAAAGAGCCAGAATTAGTTGTGAAACCATTTTGAGCTTGAGTTTACCTCTTTTGTAACCCTGTGACAAAACGAGTGTTGAACATTGCTTATTTGATTCGTGTGTAAAACGATAAAGGGAATCTGTCTCGCTGGCGAATAGTTTCCACAAACGTTTTGAAGAGCCTGCATCATTGAACGAGGAGTTTTCCAAGAATCTTCAAGAATTTTACGCCTACTCTCAGCAGACTAATGACCGTAACCACAACAAGAATCCTCCTTGACGAGCTGGTGTTAGCACAGAACAACCATGATTAGAAGTCAGATGCGAGAGCGCCATAGAGGTAAGCACTTAAACAAAGAGGAAAGAAAAACTCTTCTGATCCTGTGATGAGACAGTTTCTCTCGATTGAATTTAATTATCGCCACAAGCCATTGACGCTCCATCCCAACGATCCCAGCGAAGCCAGACTTGATCAATGTAAATGGGGATGTAGCTCAGATGGTAGAGCGCTTGCGAGAGGCACCGTGATCGATCCCCGGCATCTCTAAGTTCTTGGTAATGTTTGAAATGTTTTTGGCGCGTAGATGTTATCTAGGATTCATAATGGGGAACGGCTCGATCCTCTCAGGCACGAGATCCCAATGGAAGAGATTGTTGAGAGTATGATTCTGAAAATGAGATTGAGGTTTGTATTCTCTCCATTTTTCAATCTTAATTTAGTTGCAGAACCAGCGAAGCCAGACTTCCACATCCGTTTGGGAGGAAATCTGAAGAGAGGAACCGGGAAAGGCTCACAAAAGAGTTCTTTCAGATAATCCCTTTGCCCTGGCTCAATTGAGAAAGTTGCAGCTATGAATAACACTTTAACTCTTCCAAATTATAAACTTGGGAATCCTTATTACTGGGACTAGAGGAAGTAATCCTTGCGCATAGAGCATGGAGTTCTTCGTAAGCTCGAAGCCTCTGAACGAGGTATGGTGATGGCATATACTGTGAGGTTTGCCTTTTATATTGATGCTGCTCAACGATCATCATCCTTCAGCAACAATGATCAGATTGTTGATGGTTGAGATTTAAATTCCACTCAAAACTTCTACTTTTTTCAACATTAAACACAAACTGCGAGCAGACTTTTTTTCATTTGCTTTGCCATTGGTGAATTCTAATTTTTAATTTTAATCTACAATACTGGTGGGAGTCGAACCGCTTCCATTGGGCCACAGGACAGTTACGGCACCCACACGCTTGCTCCGGAGATAGTTTGGTGGAGACACGAAAAAAATATCGCGCAGCACAATGTGCTGTGCGGCTGTGCCTACTCATTCCTTCTGTCAAGTGGCCAGTTTCCAGAAGAGAAAGAACGTTCTTTCTTAAACAAAGAAAAAAAACAAAGCTTTTCTCTCCTTGGTGTTTAGCTTTTATCAAATCTCTGTTTCTTTGCGAGGATCTTTACACAAAAAAAGCCAGCCTTGGTCGAAAACCAAGCAACCGATGGAGTGACGAGCCGAGCCGAGCCGAGCAAACTCTTGTGAAGTTTCCCCTCCATCGAAAGAAGAGGAGCATTTCGATCGATCTACTACCCCTGTGCGACGAATGATGCCAGCATGCCAATCCTCTGAGCAACCTGTGGAGACACCTTCTTTGCTCGGGCTCGCCGCTCGCCCGAGGCTCCAAAGTCGAAGCAAAGCGTCTCGGCTACGTCGTGAACGCTCCACCCGGCCTTTCGCAGCGAGCACGAGAGATAGTCGAGATGGAAAGCCAGTCCCTCGAGGACCGTCTGCCGGTCCGGCATCCCCCTCTTGTGATCCGAGCACGAAGACGCCGCCCCGACAATCTCGGCTATGTCTTCCTCCTTCCACCCTCCTTGCCTCAGCTTGCTCGACATGTCCTCCACGGTTTCCTTCATCAGGCTCTCGGCACCGTTCTCCCACTCTCCATCGAATTCGAAGTAGTCGTCGCAGTCCGTGGCTGCCTGCTCGTCGTCTTCCAGATCGGACGTGGAAGCCACCGAGTTCATACTCTGCCCCTTCTCGGAGAGATCGCTCCAGAGCTCAATTCTGCGAACTCTGGAAGCTCTCGCTCGGCCCTGTGCGTCCCTCACGGACGGCGAGTCCTCGCAGCTCCCGTCGCAGCTGCTCCCGGACGAGCTCCTCGGACTTAAGACGCTCCTCGACGAGTCATTGGACTTCCTCCGGCAGGCCAGTGCGTCCAAGCTTCTGCTCCACGTCTCGGTCGAGCAGCTCGCCGAGAACTTTGTCACCAGTGGCGTCGCTCGGCAGCTGCTAGTAGCGCTGAACGACTCCATGTCCATATCTTCCTCCTCGTACAGACTTAGAAACTCTTCACACTTGTCTTCACTCTTGGTTACCGGTCTCCCCGCGCTCTTGCCGCTGAAGTCACCCAAGAAAACTGGCTCTGGGACGTACGCACTGCTCCTTACGAGGGACCGAGACGCGAATGAATCTCTGTGGAAGAAGTCCGACACGTCCAGGCCGCAGCAGTAGACATCTCGTCCCTGTACGAAGAAGACTGGATTTCCTGCCCGGACTGGTGCCGCAGCGACGTAGCAGTGACCATAAACAGGGAGGAGCACTGGGGCCTTCTTAAGTTGTCCGCGAGCGATCTGGACGGCCTTGTGGAGCTCGGCTGGCCTTGGCCCCCACTGCTTCAACCAGAAAACTCCTCTCTCGACGTCGGCTAGGAGGCCAGCTCTCGGCTTGTTTATCCACATCTTGAGCTGCTGCGGACCGCCAGACCTCCAGTTGGGAAAGCCATCGCCGAGTGGAAGGCCCTCTCTGAGAATTCCTCTGAGATCTGGTGGGAAAGTGAACTGAAAGAGGGCCTCGATCCTCTCGAACTCCTCCTCACTCAGACCCTTGTCGATGTGAACCCGGCATTTTCTCAAGCGCTCGATCACGTTGATGCCGTATCCGGAGAAGGAGAAGGACACCTTCCGGCTCCCGGGAGAAGCCGGCAATGCAGGCCCGGCATTCGCCCTTGCCGACAGCCTCTTGAGGCCGGCGACATGAGCGTGCATATTGATCTTGTAGTCCGCTTCTACCATCTTGTGTCTGTGCGCAATAGCTACTCCAAACCTCTGGAAACCACAAAACCAAAGGTAGTGAATGGAAGAAAACAAGCGCACACGGATGCAACTTCTGTGAACACTGATATGGAAAAACCCCACGCAAGCAACTTCCCTTATAAAGCCTGGAATGGACCCAAAGATCTTGATGCCATGCAAACAAAAAAAACACAGCCTCCAAACTTGTCGGGGTGACCCACTCTAGTACTTTCTACCGTCTTATCCCCTGTGCAAGAGAGTCTAGCTCGAATTTACTCCCTCTTGATGCTAGAGTTAAAACTTAGCAATGATCACCACACCACATAGCTATAAACTCGTGAAAGCATCTCTCACTCAGACAAACCAACGCGCACTGCAGCCGACGGCGACTAAACAATGTCACAAGTCAAAAAGAAACACAGGAAAGAAAAAAAGATGAAGCTTGACAGGCAGCCAGATGAAAAACCGAGATGGCAGGAAGAGAAAACGAAAGAAAAAAAAAAAGAAGAAAAAGATGAAACGAGCAAAAACTAAAAAATGGAGAGACCTGGTTGGTGTCCTGTAGCTCACTGCGCGATTGACTACTGCATACCTGAATACGCAACAGGAGCAGCTTCTTTTGAACTCATCTCTCAGCCACCATTAAATGAGCGTGACAGTGTCGTTGCCGGCTCTGGATCGAGCCAACAGACGTGGGAAATTCTGCCAAATTGCCGGAAGCAAAGTACAAAGACGAAGAAAACACCGCGCACGAAGAAGAAAAAACAAAGGGAAAGGCAAATGCCGAAGACAATCACAACACAAAATGCCAAGCCCATTACTAACAAAAACCCATGCAACGCATGCAAGGTGTAGAAAAGGAAAGCCCCCTTTCTCTCTCTCTCTCTCTCTCTTTCTCTCTCACATTTTGAGACTTGGCCACTGCCGAGCAAGGCGACGCCATTAGTGGTCCTTTCTGCCTCCGCTCCAGCCCTAAATGCATTGAAAGTGGAGCGTTCCTTACCACAAATTTCTCGCCGCTGCTGCGCCCGGTTGCATGAATCTATGGAGTCGCGATCGCTATCAGCTGCTGGTAGGATCGTGAGACTGCCGCTCCACCTCCGCTGGTCATGGCAGCAGGGCGCAAGCCGCCCCACTTGTGCCATAAACCCTAACCCTTGATCACCGCTTTCCCGCCCAAAGGGGTTTTGAAAACTGCCGCGCAAAATTTTAAATCTGGGCTTTGCGGTTTTGAATTTTGATGCGATGGGTGGTTTTATTTACGAGCTATCAAGCTGTACCACTTCCTGGACAGGGCGATCGATCCACTCATGTTCTCGTCTTAGAATTTATCTTGAAATCTCTGCAACCAGGGAAAAAAAAACCGAGGAATGGAATGAAATTTGCTCGCTGGCCTGGGTGGGATCGAATTCAATCGCGCTCCCCATGCCACGCCAATCCAACGAGGCAACACCCCACATCCAACTCATAAACCCTAAAATAACGAGCTCTCAATCATTCCAATCGTCAAAGAAAAAGGAGGAGAGGCGCCACCACCCGTGGCCATGGATGGAGTGGAGGATCCACACCTCGTACATAATGGTCATAAATGTGGCCCATAACACGTCAACTCCATGGGACCATATCAGTGCGCACACAGGCATGGGCGCATGGGTCCGATTGGTCCGCCGCGATTGGTCGGGCCGTACCATCCCAGGCGTGACCACAATCTCGGCCTATGGGTGGTCGACAGGTGGAGCCCAGGGCGCATCCTCACCCGACAGCGCATGGCCCACGGCAGCACGACCAGATCTTCCAGATTCTAAACACGATCTGGTGTGCCTGCCACGTCTGCCCCCGCCCATGTCATACGGCTGCCCGCCCCGTGACGTGTCCATGTCATAGCCCGTCCGGCGCTGACGTGGAGCACATCATAGCGCCAGCCACCAAACGTCTGGGAGAATCTAAGGTAGATGGGAGATTTTTTTGTGGATGGATGGACAGCTGCGTGATTGATTGATGCGCTGCGTTGTTCTTGAGTCTCTTCACCAAACGCTTCCTAGGGGATAATTCCTTTTCTTTCTTTTCTTCCAGCACTGGGAATGCTTGTGATTGACGCGACGCGACTAGTTCGATCGAGGGCCCTGTGAGCTGCCCTTGAGATTTATCCAAAGTTTTGAGAGAACGATAGGAAAAAAAAGAAGAGGGAACGAAGAAGCCGGGGCTTGTAACGATAGAAAATGTAAGAAGTTTCTTACTTTTGCAGTACATTTTCGCTATGGCGGATTCCTTGGTCACAGCCATCGAGAGTACCCGGAGCCTTTGCAATCCTTGCACAGTACCAGGCCTGCGAGACAAGGAACAAACCGACGAGAATTTTCTTTTTGCGTTTGCCAAAGTTTGCAAGTTGCGAGAAAGGAAAGGAGTGTACCTGAGCCTTTACACACTCGGCACTCACTGTTGCGCCCATCGGATCGCATCTTTCCATCACTACAAAACACGCACCGAGTTCCCCCTGTGAAGTGAAACGAAGTACAAGAAAAAGAAGGCGGCCGCAAGGAATCAGAAAAACCAACCAAAGGAGAAACTCAAGAACAATACCATTTCCTCCACATTTTTTGCACGAAACTGGGTCCCCCTAAGTAGAACAAAACGCACTTGGTTAGTTTTCTGTGTAGCACACTATGCTTGATCATCAATCGCACACAAATCCATCTAGTGCTCAGTGCTGTAATGGGGCGGACAAAAGAATCCAATCGATACATTAACAATACTTTTTTCGCAGCGAATCATTTAGAAACAATCATAGGAGCTCAGCAATCTGGAACATTCAATGTCTAACGCACAAGGTTTGAAAGAGAAACTAGAAAATCATTCTTTTTCACGTAGAAAACACTAGAAACTGGAGCCAAAATGGTGAACGAGAAACGCTTCCTTCTTTTCCATGTAGAAAACACTAGAAGCTCGAGCTAAAATGGCGGAACTGGTCTAACGAGAAATGCTAGAAATCATTCTTTTCCACGTAGAAACTCGGGCTAAAATGGCGAACTGTTCTAACGAGAAATCATTCTTTTTCACGTCGAAAACACTAGAAACTCGAGCAAATATGGGACTGTTCTAACGAGAAATATGCCATAGAAATTTACGTGGGAAACCACTAGAAACCACTCAAAGCTACGAGTATGGACCAAAACAAATGGATGGAAAACACACCATACAAATCCAAAAAGGATAAAATCACAGACTCACCTTGAATCCCCAGTAGAGCGAGGCGCCAGTAGCAGCGACAACGCTGGCGCCAAGGATGAGCGCTTGCAAATCCGGCGCCGCGAAATCGGAGCTAGCTTCCAATGCCCTGGCACGTTGTGAAGAATGCTGCCGCCTATTCCAGCGCTGGGCGGGAGAAGAGCGAAAAAGATTGGACTGCCCAAACCCTAGCACTACCTCCCTACACAAGGTTTCCATTCTTTCCAAAATCAAAACCAAAGAATGTGTATCGAAAAACTTTAAATGGCAGTCGATTGCGACTGGAAAAATTTTCCGTTTCTTCATGCACTGAGAACTGAGTGGACTTCTTCAGTCACTTGGCTTGGTGGTTTCTCGGCGTGGAGATTGGACACTACTTTTCGTTTTTCGTAATAATCAATCACCTGGATCAACACCTCTGGTGAGAAATCGGTCGGGACAATGAAAAGGACTTACGGGTTCGGTCTGGCGATGAAACGCTTCCAGCCTACTTTTGAGCACCGCGGCATTGTCGTCCTTCCTTTGTATAAGCGGTTCCCCAGTCACCTTTGCAAAGAAAAGGCGTTATTAAATATTCAGCCAGCAAGAGTTCCAGAGAAGAGGAGAAAAGAGTTCTTACATCATCGACGCCAGAAACTTTGGGTGGAGCGAACTTTGCGTGATACGACCTCCCGCTCGCCGGATGGATCCATCGGCCAGTTATCCGCTCTTCTAGAATCGCGTCGGCGATGCCAAAGTTGAGCACCTTGTCGATTTTGTTGCCCTGGCTCTCGAGCATAGCATCTAGCTGCAAGAACAATCCAAAACAGAGAACGCGTGAGCATTGAATGGGAGTGTGAATAAGACATGGCAGCACGGACTTAACGGATAGCAACGCAAAGCAAAGTGGGTACAACCGATCCTGACCTTTTCAGCTTGTACCACAGTCCTCGGAAAGCCGTCCAAAACAAATCCCTTGTCACAAGCTGGTTTCTTAATCGCTTCATCAATGATCCCTACAACCAAATCGTCCGAGACGAGCTCTCCCTGGAAAAATTGTCCAACCATCAATGCTATTAGCAAAACCGAGAGTTTTGGAACTTCAAACATAAAACACCATGAAAGATCTTTCCAACAAAGAAAGAAGAGACCATCAAAACGACCAAAGAAAAAAAACACAAAGAACGACACCTTTAAAGAAAAAAGAGAGGGACACTAAGAAAATATCTCTAAAGCAAAAGAGATTGCCAGAAAAGAATGCTTACCTTGTCCATGGCTTCCTTGGCCTGGATTCCAAGAGGGGTCTTGGCAGCCACGGCTGCCCGGAGAATATCACCAGTGGCCAAATGGCACAGGCAGTAATTCTCCTCGATAATCGGCGATTGCGTGCCCTTGCCAGAACCCGGAGGCCCTGGATTGGATCGATTCTTGCTGATTCCCACCCGTATTTCACAAAAGGACGCGAAATCACTGGCTTACCGATGAGGATGAGTCGCTTCTCCGGCTTGGCAGCGCATCGCATTCGCCGCATGAGCTCCCCCATGAGATCTTCCACTGGAACATTGGCGAGCTCCCCCATGTCGATCCCACTTAGGGTTCTACCAAAACTTTAAAACCCTAAACCTGTCCGAGAATAAAAACGGTCAAGAGCCCGATCTCTGACACGTGTTGACATCCCAGCCGTCGCCGGATTCTGAAATGTGGCCAGGCTGTTAGCCATAGCTCCTCGCTAAGAAGAACTCTTCCTTGTTTCATTCGTGTGCTTAAAAACCATTACTTAGGTTCTTGAGATGCCGCCATGGCGATGGCGATGACGAGCTTAGAATCGCCGGCACGGGAAGATCAGGCTCTCGATCGGCGTATTTCTGGCAGATCTTCGGCAAGGAGAGGTATTTCCCAGGTGTAATCTGGATCCATAGCTTAGATGCCGCTGCCATAGGTCGAAATATCGCCAGCATTGAGAAATCCATGCCCTGGCGAGCGAGGGAGAGCCAGCATTCTTGGCAAGGCACAAGATTTCGATAGATTTTGGAACAGGGCAGCAATGGCATCGCGCTCCAGCGATGGAGCTCTCATCGCGGCTCTTCTTCTAGCGTTCCTGGCAATGGCGATCTCACAGTCAGTGCCCGCTCCAGTTAAGGCTCCCAAGGCAAATCCACCAAAAGGAAGTACTGCTCCAGTGGCTCCAGCTCCAAAAGCCGCTGCTACAGCTCCGACAAAGGCCCCAGCTCCGACTGCTACGAACGCCAGCGCTCCTCCGCCACTAATGGCCACTCCACCAAAAGGAGCACCGGTTCCATCCGCTGGTCCAGCTCCAGTCTCTTCTCCCGCGATGGCTCCAAAACCATCGACCGGCCTCAGCAATGGCACGCTGGATCCATCGCAGGTCGCGGCTTTGCAAACTCTCAAGGTGCCAGTGCCATCCAATCCATGCGCCGGCTCACACTCGACGATGATCTGCGACGAAGGATCCCCGGTCAGGCGCTTGATCTTTCTCCAGCTCCAGTACTGCCCAGTGGACGCGGTGCTCAGCGAAGAAGCTCTCAAGAACCTCACGGGCTTGCAAGCGCTCTCCTTCTTCGACTGCCCGATGAAGCCGTCGGCGTCCCTCCCTCCCGACATGGCGAATTCCCTTACGTCCTTTAGCTGCGTGTCGAGCCTGGGAAGAACTTCTGGATTCGAGGAGATGGCGGGGCTCTCGGGGGTCTGGCTCGGCAAGCTACACAAGGTGGAGGATCTCACCGTCATGGACGTGCTCGTAAACGCTTCCAGCTTGTCCGTGATCGTCGCCAACATGACGCGGCTCCGCGAGCTCAAGATATCCAATTCCAGCTTGAAGGGCGAGCTCCCAAAGACATGGCCAGCGAAGAACCTCACGTCCATCGACCTCTCCCTCAACGCCATCCAGGGTCCGCTCCCGTCGCTCCTGGGCGAGCTCGAGCAGCTCCAGAGCTTGGAGCTCACAGGCAACAACTTAACCGGGCACTTGCCGGATTCACTCGGGAAGCTCCGGAGCTTGCAGAGACTGTCGCTCAGCTCCAATGCGCTAACCGGTCCCATCCCCGGCGCCGCCATCGAGAACATGACGACGCTCACGTACCTGGATCTCAGCAACAACGCTCTCAACGGCAGCGTCCCGGCTTCCATCACCAAGCTGCGAGACCTCCGCTACCTCGACCTCCGCAACAACAAGCTGCGAGGTATCCTCCCTTTCAATTCCTCGTTTCTAAGCCGGCTCAACAGCTTCAAGGCCAGCGGGAATCCATCGCTGTGCTACAACAGCTCCATAGTCACGTCCACCCGGCTGGTGGTGGGCGTCCCGGCTTGCGACGATGCGGGCAAGCCGATCACGTCGGGTGGCGAGGGCCCGGCACTGTCGCCAGGCGAAGAACTGGCGCCCACGGCCGAGCCGGATGCGCAAAACTCGCAGAGCCGGCGGGGCAAGCGCCATGGTCCCAAGACGATCGTGTGGGCCGTCGCGACTGCGCTGGGGGCAATCTTCCTCTTCATCGCGCTCATCGTCGTCTTCTCCAAATGGTGCCGCTGGAAAGATGCTTGATGGCCGAGATTTTTCATCCGGGCCGTTGGTACGTGGATAGCCAACGGCCGACATTGATGCATGATAGTAGGGTTTTGGGAAAAGGTTGGCAATTTGTAATATGACCTAGCACCAATAAAGTATGCCGTTTATTCCTTATTGGATGACGTGGCGTCAACGCTGTGCTGACGTGGCATTGACTTGACACGTAGAATAATGTCTGTCAGTCAACATTTGATTAATCTGAGCCGTTCTAGCAGCTCGCTGCCAAAATGCTGCTCGAGTAAAGAACCGAAGTGGGAGAGGAAGAGAGAGAGAGAGGGAGAGAGAGCTCTGGCCTGGCCTCTTTGGAGCTCTTCTTTAGGTCATAGACTCTCTTCCTCTCTATCGAGCTCGAGCTCGAGCATGGATGTAACAGCAATGCAGGTAAGCTCCATCCTCCTCGCCCTCCTCTCGATCGCGGCCTCCACTCGAGCCGCCTCGCCGTCTCACCACCACAATGCCGCCGCTGCCCCAGCGCCAGAGGTAAGCTCTAGCATTCCCCCGCTCGCGTCCCCGCGCAAATCTCCAATCCCAATCCTCGGATCCCCAGCTCCAGCGCTTCCAGCCACTCCATCGCCCGTCTCTCCGGTCCCCAGCTCCTCGCCAGCGGCAGCGCGAAAGCCCACATCGCCATCTCCAGCCCCGGAAGAAGAACCTCTGCCACCATCGCCACTGCTAGCTCCCTCCAGTCCTCCACCTTCAAACGCCACAGCTCTGGATCCCGACCAGCTCAAAGCTCTCAGATCTCTCAAGGTTCCCATTCGCGACCCGGATAACATCTGCGCTCCATATCCAGACACCCCGTTCCAGTGCGACCAGGGGTACCCGACCCGCCACCTCGTCTCCCTCGCGCTTAGCTACTGCCCGGAGGAGTCCGTGCTCTCCAAGGAAGCGCTCGACGCCCTCGCCACCACCTTGAAGTCCCTCTCCTTCCTCCACTGCCCAATGCCGGCGATTGCCTTCCCCGCCCAGATGACGAGCTCGCTCGAGTCGCTCAGCATCGTCTCCAGCCTCGGCCGCGAGACAACCTCGGACGATCTTACCACCACCAATTCAGCAATCACCGGCGTGTGGCTCGCCAGGTTCCACAGGCTCTCGCGGCTGGAGGTCCGGGACATCGTCGTCAATGCATCGGGCCTGGCGATCATCCTCTCTAACATGACGGGCTTGCGCGAGCTGTCGATCTCCAACACCACCCTCGGCGGTCACCTCGTGCGCTCCTGGCCGGCCAACCTCACCTTGCTCGATCTCTCCAACAATCGCATCCAGGGAGGCCTTCCCAGCCTCTTCGGCCAGCTCCTGCGCTTGGAGACCATGGATCTGGGTGGCAACAACATCTCCGGCCACCTCCCGGAGTCTCTCGGCCACCTCCGCAGCGTCCGGAAGCTTGTTCTTAGCAGCAACGCACTCTGGGGGCCGATCCCAAAGTCGTTCGCCAACCTGACGTCCCTGGCGTACCTCGACATGAGGGGCAACAAGATCAACGGGAGCATCCCCGAGGCTCTGGCCGATCTCCCCAGCATCCGCTACGTGGATCTGCGCAACAACGATCTGGATGGGATGCTGCCGCTAAACAGCTCCTCGATCCAGCGCATGAACAGCTTCCGGGTGGCCGGGAATCCATCCCTTTGCTACAACTCCTCCGCCACCTCGTCCAAGCTCGTTCTTGGGCTTGCGAAATGCGACGAGGATGGGAATCCTATTGTGCCATCTTCGTCGCCCTCGTCTTCCTCGGGCTCTTCATCTTCCACTTCGCCGTGGGGCGATTCTTCTTCCGGAGAGCACCATAGCTCCTCCTCGAGCGTGCACAAGAGCAGTGGCGTGAAGAAGACGGTGTGGGCGATTGCAACTGCGCTGGGAGCGATTTTCTTGTTTATCGTTATTGTTGTAGCATTGTCGAGATGGTGCAAGAACAAGGGCTGATCTGCGAGTATGCCATATAAGAATGATTATTGATACAAACAAAATTGATTTTCACATTGCCATGCGATTGCTAATTGTCATGAACTTGAAATAGTGTCCAAGAGTTTCTCTTTTTTCATTATGGCATCTTCACTCTTCTCGTCCGTTGCATCAGAGCAGGCTACTACGATGGAACTCTATTCAATAATATCCAATTTGAGACCGGGTAGCTCTCGGGAATCCATCGTGACAATATGCATTAGAAGACAGACAGCCGCACCCCTTCATGTTAGTGTTAGCATGCATTGTGCTCTAAATAGCAGTATATTATAAATATTGCCACCTTTATTGATAAGTGCAATGTTTATGGAAGGTCTTGGTATTTCAAATTACCTACTGATTTTAATCACTCCCTAGCACTCTTGAAGCTCTCAAATCCTTGGCAGGAGTTGCTCTTGAATCTCTTCCATCCTCAAGAGATACCTTGCAAGGTTGGCCATGATGTCAATGTTGGGTGAGATCTCTATCCTGCCAAGGAACTGTAGTCAGAAGGTGGTTGTATATATGCAATCATAGAGAACATGGAATATATATAGCAGTAACATATTAATGTTCCAAAGGTGATAGATTTGCACATTGCTTAGCTATATGGTTTTAATTCTAGTAATAAATTATAATCTATGAAATTATTTAAAATTATAAATGTTTAATATAATATATTAATATAAATTTTTATTTAATTTTAATAAAATTAGGTCCCATTATAATGTAACTTTTGATCATTTGGAATAGGAACATTAAATAAAACTAAACTCTACTTCCAGATCAAAAAAATGTGAGTATCTTTAAACTTTGTCAAATGTAAAATAGTTATAATCAAACAAAGTCTTATTCCAAAATAAATCTCTGAAGTTCTTACAAAATTCCATCTATGTGGATTGGATCCAAAGATTTCAGGATGAGAAGCTTGATTTTTATCCTTTGCAACACTAATACACTTATATAATGGCCAAGGAAAAGAATTGCTAAGTCCTAGTCTAGTAATTTGCATCTTATGCAGCAATAACAATTGTATCCATCCTTTATACCCACCTTAGCAATTCTTAAGACTTAAACCACTTGATTCATATGTTTGTTCTCCACTTAAAAGCTTTAAAGTCACTTGCATAACCTTTGTAAAGCTCTTCTAAAATCCACTTAAGAGTTTCAAAGTCACTTGCATAACCTTTGCAAAACTCTTTTAAAATCCACTAGTGAACTTTGAGTCTTGACTATTGATATTGTTTAATAAATTAAAATTAGAAAAAACCTTCTCTAAGTAAATTACAGCCAAGTTTGAGATAGTGATAGTCTTCTAAGAGGCCAATGACCACACATATTTCAACAATAAATCCATTATGTTATATATTTATTTTTTTTGCCTCTATTTTTGTGGTAAACAAGTAATGAAGTTTATAAACATACTACATTAATAACTTTGAGGACTAAAAAAAGTTTGTAAAAGTTCCTTTGGCACCTTTATCTACTAATAAATCTTATATGACTTATAATACTTAAGGATATCAACTTTTATATTCTTTCAATAAAACATTACACTTAATCAACTTATACATTTTCTTCCCACCAAAATGACTAGCCTCAAAACAATCATGATAGTGGACTAGAATCTAATTAATTAATATATTCACTCATGGTAAATATACTTGATCATTAAATAAAGAATCCCATCTACAATGAGAAAAGTGCTTCTATTTAGGCTCATAAAGAGACCACTTCAACATTTTAAGCCTAACTAATTGCCTAAACTCACTAACTATCTTACTCAAATAATAATAAAATCATGTTCATAAATGTCGTGAATGTGATTGTGGGTATCAAAACTATTTATCGGTGAGTCCTTTCAAATATTCTTTCTTTACTGCCACAATGGCAAAAAATCAATATTGCTAAACCCTTTATTAATTTCTGCCCAAATTAGTTTTGAAAGTGTTAATTTCAAAAGGGGGTGGCCCATGAGGCCAATTATGGAGGAGTCCATGCATGATCATAGGTTGATCAATTAATTTGTCAAGTGAGAGAACTTGGAAGCTCAAAAGAACTATGTTCTTAAGCTATGATTTGTATAAAAACATTTATTTTTTGGTGGTCATGAACTCTCAGTAAGGAGGTTGATTTAGGCACACTATAAAGCAAGAGATGCCTTGAACTTATGATGCATGGTTAGAGTGTTTAGTGTGAAAAGTTAGCATATTTAATTTGAACACTCTAGTGTAAATGGCATTAAGGATGTGATAAATGAGATGGGGATTCCCAATCTCAATTGCTATAAACCTTTGGCCGGAAGGGTTAGTTTAGGTGCACTGCCAAGAGTGGGGAATACCCCTGGGGTTATGGTTAATAACTTAAAGGTTTAATAGACTTAATACTTATTGGTATATATGTTAATGTGTCAATATTAGATCACTAAGTGATCTTATAGCTAAACAAGGATAAACTCTTTATTAGGTTAAGGAATAAATTTTTTAGTTCAAATTATATATTTGAACTATTGATAAAGGTGACTAAAAGGGAAAGACACCTAGGTGAAATAAGCTATGAAATACAATGGTATTGTGAGTCCAAGAAAAGTTGTCTTTAAGGAAGGACCCAGAGAAGGGTCATAAGATTGGGCCAAGGATAGATCCTATAATAAAAAATGCTAAAGAGATTGAACTTGACAAAATAAAGCCTTTTCTATGGAACTAAAATAATACATTAAGGATAGAGGTAGTGATCCTTTATTGCTTAGTGCAATAATCAAATGATAGAAGCAAAAGACTAGTGTCCAATAATGGGTCTTAAAAATTATTAGAAGGAATCTAAATTATAAATTAGGCAAGGAACCACCATATAGTTAGGAAAGAAAATATATTTCCAAGGATGGATTTCCCAAATATTCCAATATGGCAAAGGTGAAAGCTTCGAGAGATGGAGCGATAAAGTAGCCAAATAATAAAGCTATGGACAGCTTTAATATAAATTATGAATAAGTGGAACTTAGTGTTTAGGGTGGCATAGAATAAAAAAGAAGATGATAATGTCCTCAAGTGAAGAACTTCCTAGGATGGGAAAGTGAAATTTGCATAATATATGTAATACAAGATGTCAAAGACACCAAGGAAATTGACTTTAGAAATCAAAATCAAAATTCTAAAGTATGATGGTTCTATTGATAGAGGCCAAAACTTCTCCAAAATGAGTAGTGAAATTGAGATAGTCTCTAACAAGTTTAACGAGAGCTAAACAAATAAAGAAAGAAAACCACCACAAGTGATATTATGAGTTTCTAACCTAAAGAGACTATACTCTTTAGAGGATGGGCAAGACATGGTGAACCTTCGGTGGTGAACCCTTGATAAATATTGGCTTAGTGCCAAGGAATCCATGGTGGGGTTATATTATAAAATGGTTTATTGTTCGATGATATTAAACTTCATTTATGTGTGGTGGAGTTGTGAGACATAAATCCTTAAGCCCTAAATTGGAGCTGAAAGTAAGCCATATGCTAATGGTTAAAGCAGAAGTTTAACAAGCATAACACATTTGGACCAAAAACTCTAACTAGGAAAGTTAAGAGTAGGAGTGGAACTCCAAATAAAGTGCTCAAGAATGACCATGAAGCAAATGAATCTTTAGAAAGGGACACAAGAAGGCCTAACACATTGCAAGTGTCAAACATATGGAAGTGTCAGGACCAAGTTTGAGATGGAGTCCAAAAAGGAGTTTAAGAAGGAGTCTGAAATGGAATCCAAAAAGGAGTTTGAGATGGAGTCCAAGCAGTAATCTAAAATGGAGTCCGAGAAGGAGTCTAAGATGGAGTTTGAGCAAGAATCCAAGATGAAGTTTGAGAAGGAGTCCGAGATGGAGTCCAAGATAGAGTCTGAGATGGAGTCTAAGAAGGAGTTTGAGATGGAATCCAAAAAAAGACAGACTTGGACCCAGACTCAAATTGGTCTTAATCTTGGTCTCGGTCCCAATCTCGGTCTTAATCTTAGTTTTGGTCTCAACTTGGACTCCATCTCGGACGAGTCTGAATCCAAGTTTAAAGGTGAAAGCCCAAAATGATTGTCTTCTAGACCTTGAGGGGTTTAGTGAGTTCCAAAAGGATAGTAGAGGGAGGACTTTAGTAAAGGAAACAACTTGAGAGATGATTTATAAGGGTTTAAATATAAACGGAAAAAGCTTATAAATAAGAGTGCATCCTTTTTTCTAATTGGTTAAGGGTCTTGGGATATTTAGTGTTAAGTGTCTTTGGGTTTGAGTAGTACTAAGTTGGGTAACCTCTCAGGTGTAAGCCACAAATTTTTTCTTTCCAATTTGCTAGTTTACCTCGCCTATCCGACCAGCACTGCTTTGGCTTTTGTTAAATTCCCTCGCCAAGGTTCCCGCCTATTGTACCAGCTCCTACTTGGTCCTACTTGGTTTCAGCTACTCACTGCACAAGCAATGGAGTGTTAGCCATCCATCCACGGATTCCCAAATCTCTCCCAATCCCCCTCTCCGGGTTAGACTAGACATAAGGTTCGGCTACACTCCCCGCATGCACAAGCAGCCAAGCACACCAAGCCTCCATGTTCTTAACATCCCTTGGTACAACAAAACTTGATCATAGGACCCTCTAAATCCCAAGCCTTGGGTGCAACACTTGCTTCGGGACACCAGGGCGAAACACCGTGGCCTAACAGCTCGGTATGGGTACCTCTACCCCCCCACTTCTATCCCGAAGGGAAGGCCCAAGCCCCTAGGAAGGGCGAGGACCAATGAGCCACAAAGTACTCAAGTGGGGCACCACTCCACATAAGCTAGGAACACCACAGTCGGTTTCCCTTTCGAGAGTGGGAGCTGCTCTTGAGCACTTCCTTGGGTGGCCCCTCCGGCACCACCCGAGTCCATGCTCACTCCCACCCAAGGCCCCTCGGCCCCAGTCTCAACCTCAAGTCAGTTTGAAAGCACCACTGAAGAGTTCCTTCAAGACTGGTTTC